CCCGCGCCAAGGTTCAAGCCAAGCGTCTTAATAAGTCTAGCAGAGTCTTGCATACACAAGTCACATGAACAAGGAAACACAGCTTTATGCGTTGTTGCCTTAAGAAGTCGAGATCTCTCGATTGCTTTTTGTCCCACCCGACCCGCCCGGGGGGATGAAGGTCCTGGGTCCAGGGCCCGCATAGGTCGGCCGCAACCCCCTGACCCAGGACTGACAGAACACACCCCGCTGTCACCGCAGAGCGAAAACGGGCCAAGTGCAGGAGTCTGAGCGAGTGCATGTGTGTTAGGGCAGTTCCTGAAGTCGTGTCTTGATGTGTGCATGAGTCCTTGAAGCGTGCTTGAAGATGTGAGCTGGTTGGCTAATGGTAGATCAGGCCAAGAGGCTCAAGTGAAAGTGAATGTCATATCCAGCGTGCTCAGAACTGCCTCAGGAAGTTCAGGCTGCTAGTTGAGAAACTCCTGCAGGTGAAAAGATCGTGCCGCTCGCGTTGAGCTTCCTGCGCTGCCTGTGGCTGTAGCTGCTCCTACATTTCCTCATCTCGCGAGCTTGTAACAAGACACCCGGGTCCTCGCACGTGCTTCAACCCTGCATCCCAAGCTTTCCAGGGAAAGCCCACCTTGTCAGTGCTCTTGTCTTTGTCTTTCTCTCTTTCCTTGTCCTTGTCCCGGGCTTTGTTTGTCTCTCTTGCCTTCAGCTTCTTTTCATTGGATTCCATCGTCGGCAGTCGGAAGCCACGCTGCGGTTGGAGCTCCAAGTTCTCGGAGAGCCCCAACCTCGCAAGGATAATATATCCGTGGTAGCTGCGTGGTCTCTTGAGATCCTGCTCTGAAAATAGCTCAGTGGCCGAGCGCTTGTCTGTGGTACGAGCAAGGGCTGCCGTATGATCATAGGCCCGGGAAAGTCACCGGATTATGTGTCACATGATCTCTTTTGGCCAAGCAGCGGATCAGAAGATGTCGAGACCATTGCTCTTGTGGACTCAGGCGCAGCACCGAAGAATCCCACATTGGGTTCTGCCTTCACCTTTGCTGAAATCGCTCTGTCTTTCTTTTGGGCTCTACAGATGGATATAACCTTCAAAACTTGACGTCAGGCAGCTCGCCGTCCATTTTGGATTTTTCCCGACCCGAATAGAATCCTCTGAATTTCAGAGCCGCGCGTCCCCGCTGCCGGTGGTAGCCTCCGGCTTTGGTCTGGACGTGTCCGTCTCCGGCCGGAGCAGCAACTGCTCGGAGAGTCCGAGCCTTGGGAGGAACAACAGCAGCTGCAGCTCTTGGAAGAGCACCAAGTGGGTAAGGGCCCAAGTGCAGCAAGACGTGCCGGCGAGTCACGGATCGGCCACGGCGGAGACCGCAGCTTTAGCAGCCTCCGGTGCTGCATTGAAGAAGCCGAAACGACATCCAATGCAGGAAACCAGCTATTTCCCTTCGATCTCTACCTGGAACATCCGTGTCGGAATGTTTTCCCAGGACCCGAATAGAATCCTCTGAATTTCAGAGCCGCGCGTCCCCGCTGCCGGTGGTAGCCTCCGGCTTTGGTCTCGACGTGTCCGTCTCCGGCCGGAGCAGCAACTGCTCGGAGAGTCCGAGCCTTGGGAGGAACAACAGCAGCTGCAGCTCTGGGAAGAGCACCAAGTGAGTAAGGGCCCAAGAATACATTCTCAACCCTGGTGAACCATGCAGCAAGACGTGCCGGCGAGTCACGGATCGGCCACGGCGGAGACCGCAGCTTTAGCAGCCTCCGGTGCTGCATTGAAGAAGCCGACCGTCGGCTCCGTCGTCTGGCAAAACATATTGAAGAAGGATGTCCGAGCATTTTGCCGGAGCTGCTGCAGGCATCACACGCCAGTAACTCCAAAGGGGGCCTTGTCATCCTTCGTATCCGAACTCTTTGGGGAGACGTCTGGCTGGAGCGAGAAGGCCTGCCTTTGATGCGTTCAGCTAGATTCTGACGGAGGTATGCCCGAACAAGCACCACCAATTGGGCCGTGGAAAGGATGAATTGCACGCCTTCAGCCACTGCCAACTTCCTTACAAGAATAAGAAGCTCGCTACACAAAAAATCGTAAAGGTAAGTTAGAAGTGCAGTTAGAAGTGGCTCAGAACCAGGAACAGCAGAGCCTTGAAATGGACAGCCCCATTCCAGGGAAGGGAAGGCTTGAGCAAGCAAGGTAGGAGGGACACCAGAGGGCTAGAAGGGCTCATCTCCAATGATGCCAACATCTTTCTCTTCTTGTTCCGACTTCTGCCTTGCTCTCAGATTCGCCACCCATGGTCTTCTGAAGGTTAATTTGTGCACGGCACCATCACCGACATGGGGCTGCCAGGTTGCGGACTTGCCACGAAGCCGAGAGTCTCACCGGACTGCAGGGGCTCTGCCTTCCAGTCACTCCCTCCCCTCACCCACAGCGCCAAGGATAATGTCGGCAGGCTCTAGACGCATGTATGCCATCTGCCTGTGCGAATTGAGATCTCTAGCGGGAGACCCCATCACAACATGCAAAGTCGCCCGCACACAGGCAAAGTCAAAGTCAAAGACCCGAACCTCGAAAGCCACAGCCAGCAATGTTGCACCTTCAATCCCAATCACAAGAATCCTGAAGCCTGAAGCCATCCGAAGCCAAGCTTTGCCGGTGCCGGGTGTCCTTGTGCAAATCCTTTGGCTCGTCATGGTCAAAAGTGGCTATGTCCGACTTCGGTGGATCGCCAACAAGCCCCAGCCTGGCATTCTGACTTCCAGCGACTCGCGAGCACATGCAAGCACTGCATGGATGGGGGGGACCCGTTCGACCCTGTTATGATGAAAGCCGAAAAGGAACCATCAGGAATCATCAAGAATCGTCAGGACCCTCGATGTTGCTACAAACAGGTCGTAACGAACAAAAGAGAAAAAACGATGCACAGACGTCTTGGTTCAAAGTAGAAAGACAGATGGCGGGGAAGTAGCTTGTCAATGGCAAAGCTCGTGCGGGAGCTTCTTGGCCCACCGGAGCACCCGTTGGAACTACGACCAGGTCGCGGACAAGCTGCAGCATGGAATGCGAATCGGCTGGGATGCCAAAACACGACATTAGACTGGTAAATGACTTATGACTTATGACAGATGTCCAGGTCTCGGTAGGGCCAATGCACCGAAGTTTCTACCAGGTGATGTCAGGTGCCATTCAAAGACCGAGCATGGCGATTGGCATGGGTCTGGTACTCGTCCGAGTCGCTGATTGGCCACGGAGGCCAACGATTCGTTCTCCTGGCACTGAGATTTTCATGTCTCCCAATTTCTGAGCCTGCGGGCCTCGTCTGCAGGAGCGTCGCTTTCCTTCGTTGCCAGCAGCTTTGGCTCCAGCACGGCTGGAGCTGGCTCCAGGAACTCCGCGGCCATCTTCCTTGCCCGCTTGCGGGCCTGGCGCCCCCGCTCTGCCGCCTGAAGCCGGATGGCTGCGGCCACCAGCGCCGGGTCTGTGCCCGAGGCCGACCTTTGCACTCTGCACGGAATCAACGTGTACACGCGGTTCCAACACCCCGCCAGGCCACGGTCCATCAAGAGACATGGCCGTCAAAGCCACGCTCAGCGGCTGCGGAGGGGTCGGCGGAGACAAGCTGCCCGAGGTCGGGTACTTCTGAACCTTAGAAAAGTTTGGTTTGGCAACTGTTTTGCTAGCGATAACCAAGACTGAGCCTTTCCGAAGCCAACCAGCAACATGAGCATCAGCAGGAACACTTTCCGGCTATCGCGAAGCCAACCTCAAGCATCATGAGCATCAGCAATGCGACTTTCCGGCAATGGAGAACCCAACCCAAAGCATCATGAACATGAGCAGCCCCATTTTCCTGCAAAAAAGCATCATCAGCCGCACTTTCCCACACGCACTTTCCTACAATCGGCAGTGGCGAGCATCATGAGCATCATCACCACTTTCCGACAATCTCGAAGCCAACCTCAAGCATTACCAGCATCAGCAGCGCCGCATTCCTGCAGTTCTGAAGCTAGCCCCGAGCATCATGTGCAGGATGCACATGTGGCGACTACACCAGCCAGTTCTAAAGCGGAAGCCCAACCAGTTGCTGCCTTGCCAAGTAGCTCTAATCCTGGCTGGCCGCTCCTTCTGCTTGGGCTTTTCGGGCTGCGGTTGCAGCACTGTGCTCTGTCCGAAGAAGTCATGACTGCGGCTCACTTCACTGTCGTCCAGGCCAGTGTCTGCGCCCACCGTCACGCGCGAAGCCACATGGTCCGAGGTTCTGAGCTGTGCAGTCTGACTTTGTGTTTGGACACATGCTGTTTTGGGGAGAGAGCACTAGCACGACGTCATGCAGTAGTTCAATAGTCGGAGTCGTTGCCGGCAGGGGGTTCAATACAACCACAACCACAACCACCACCAGCGACAACAAAGCACGCAACAGCAGCAAAAACATAAAACAGCAAGCATGGAGGGCGCAGAGATTACTATTTCACCCGAGTTCTTCTGGATCTGCACTGCTGGCTCTGCCGCTTTGCTCCGTGCACTCGGTGCCGTTGCCGGTCTGCCAGTTTCAGCTTCGCGTTCACTGCTCCCTGCTTCACTCTCGAGATGCTCCTTTGGATCGCTGTCAGATTCGAAGATCTGGCAGGGGGCGCAAAGCCCAAAAGCATCAGGGAATAACATTGCTGCTAACCCTGAACACCGTTGTCACCCGAATAGAAAATTGTCAGTATCGTGATGACGCAGGTTCGGATGTCTTTTCCGTTGTTTCTGTCAGTTGCCAGCACTCAAGATTCCACCACCTCCATTCCGCCGGCTGAAGCTGCGAACTGTGCGGCAAGACCTCGACGTGCTTGCCGGCCACGTTGCATGGCCTCTCAACACTGGTTGCAGCTCGGATCTGGGAGCAGTTTTGGATATTCTCTTAGCTTGAATGCATGGGCAGAGAAGGATGCAGCGGCCTGGATCTTCGTTGCAGCTGCCTGGCCGAGATGTCAATTACCACGCGTGCGCTGAGTGTACAGTGTACGCCGATTCCTCCCATCAACACACGATCAGTCGACCTCGTGTAAACCGAGTCAAGCTCTTAAAGGACATGGGACCTCACGCTCACGTGCCGTGTCCAGCTGCCGCCAAAGCTTCATCCAGCGGTACCTCGCACACTGCTGGGTTGGCTGGAAGCATCCAGCAATCAAGTCTTTGGGCTATAGGGATAAGTCTTCACTGAGCGGCCGTGCTTGGATCCTGCGTGCAGCGGTCTCCAGCTTGGTCACTCGAGGCAGCGCGTGCGTGCCGAAACCCACGAGTTCACCTTGAAACGAAAGGCCAGGCTCTGAGCTTTTGGTTGCGCTGGAAAGCAATGACACGATGAACTTTCGGTGCCCTTGCGGCTTTATGTCCACGGGTTTTGTGTTGATACTTGTCACGGCACGTGCTTCATTGCTGAGTTGCCGAACAAATTATAGCGAAGCCAAGCTAGACTCAGGGCCAGCTGACGAATCCCCATCGGAATTGTTCCCCCCGCTCGGTGACCTCCCGGTGACCATCCCCGGCCATCTTTCAGTCAAGATTTCCTGTGTGCACGACAGCGTTTGCACGCCTGTGTTTCGCTCAAAATATGCCTCGGTTTGAAACAATCGCGGACCACAAAGCTTTTCGTCGATCGAGGGTTGCGCACCTTCGTACTGCAGCATACAAGCGAAAGCTGATTGTAGCAGCTTTCTTGCACCAGCTGCATTTGTGCGCGGTCAGCCTCGACTGAACTTGCTTCGGTGTTTCTTTGGTCCCCCACAGTGAGCCAATTCTCTAGCACTCGTTCTCACCCATGAGCCCCTATCATTCGAGACAAACAATACTTAGGAGGAGGTACGTCGATCACCTGTTAGGGCTGGCATCAGCCAGAAACAGGAACCCGTCGCCACAAACCGAAACATTAAATAAAATTGTGCCGTGGATCCAACTTCTGCGGCCGTGTCGACTGCATCCTTTGGAAGAGCCGGGAACGGCCTCAGCAACTTCCGAGAAGAACGCTAGCCGCTTGCAAGCCGTCCCGAGGGAACCACACACACATACCTCTGAAGAATTAAGAAAGCCAAGCATCCATGTGTCTCTGGGACGCCAGTGAGCCAACTGGGCCTGGCAGCTGCAAATGGTTGAGAATCGATCTGACTTCCTGTCGCTCTCAGCGTCGTCGCGCATCCACATCCTTCGAAAACAAACAATGGCGACATCCTGGATGCCACGAGATTGCCGAACAATAATGATGCTTGTCTGATAAGCAGGCACTGACATCGACGGTTTTTCGCCAACGCACCTTTTTGCGATTGCAAGTTTTGCCCACATGTTGAAGCCTCGATTCTACTCCTTCGGGGTAACTTGGGCAGGTCTCAATTCAAACAAGCACCGAAAATCTCGGCCGGCGTTGCACTGTCCCATGAGACAGCGAATCCAATTGGGACACCATGCTGCGTGACGTCTGGCGTTGTCCACTGCTTTTGGTGTCACCACCCTGCAGGTCTTCACCCTTCGTCTCCCTGTACCTGATGAAATGCAAGCAACACGTTATCTAGTCCTCCTTCTGCATCTGTTCCAAACGCTGCTTCTGTACTTCCCGTGCTTGGGCAAGCATGCCCCATCGAACGAGAACCAGGATGCAAATGCAAAAGATGCTCTTTCCATCCAGTGCACCTTCCACGCCTGACACCAGCTCCCAGAATTCTTTGATGATCAGAGCAAGGGCCGTGAGCCCGCTGACCATGGCAGGATCGGGACGGTGGAACTGCAGCATAGTGGCAGCGTTTGGGAACTAACTCTGGCAAATCGCCCGCTATCGCCCGCTGCTGGCTCTCTTGGAACCCAACTTGGCGTGAAGGCACTGCCCAACACAGCCCCAGGAACGTGTGTACACCATACTTGTTTGCTCGCCTGGCTCTGTCATGCTGCAACAACCGTCCGTCTGTTCTGTGCCCAACCCGCCTGAAGCGCCTCACGGAAAGCAAAACGCCGACGCTCATCTTGCAGTGCCTCCCTGCAGCCAACGTACACACTCATAGCGAGGGCATCTCAAGACGACTCATTTCAAGACGACTGAGAACTGATTGCATGTGCAAAACCCTACAATGCGATCACCTGTAGGCTTTCTTATAAAATTTTGGAAAATGGCTGACACCCTAAAGCTCGAGATGACTCCCTGGCCTGAATTGAGCATGTGTTTTGGCCAATGATGGTGCCACTGATCGACGCACTGCTTCCTGTAAATCCACTGCTGTTGCCCATGCTCGCCTCAGCACAGTATGTGTGAGCAATGAACAACATTTTGTCCACTTTGCTCTATAGCAAAACGAAAAAGTCAAACAACCAGTGAGGCCACACAAATCAAGCAGCACGACCAACCGTCTGGGTCCCCGGAGATTTGACAAATCTTCAAGGGTCGCCGTTTTCGCAACGTCGTCCCAGGAACGACCATCAATAGCCAAAACCTGCGAGGCTGCACGAAGCCGACAGCTGCAAACTTTAAATACATTCAGTACACGTCTCCTCGTCGCCAGCTTCCAAACCATTTTCGGCGGCCCATGTCCCTGCGACACCAGAAACCCACGTTCCAACAGCTCCAAAATTTCAAAAAAAAATCTAAACCGAAACTGTGCGGGGCAATGCTTGCCTGTAGCCACCCGCGTGATCTTTCCGGAATGGCTCAGAACAAAGCCCAACTGTACAGCACCATGGCAACGCAGCTCGCAAGCTGCCGGTGTGTCCTTGGCCAAAGAAGTCGACAAAATCCCAACGACCCTCTGAGCACCCACTGCTCTACAGACCCAGCCCCGACATTTTCAGACAGCACCTTTGGCCGAGCGCTTCAGCCACGCAGATGGACGGACAGCCAACCATCTCAATGCTGACCTGACTATGACCCTCGAACTGCACACCTGGGCGATGTTTGGTGGTACCAATGTGCTGACCCGTGACATTGTGCAGCACCTGGCATTTAACCGCTTTTCATCAACCCTGCCACGGCTTCGTCTGCTGCAAGATTGTGAGGATCAACTTCAACCCACTCCCACCACAAACAAGTTGCCAACACTCGACGAGATCCTTCACCAACCCCGTCGTGGTGGCAGCGCTGACAGGTTGCCATGGCTGGTGATGTCTCGCATCGAATCCGTGATGCTGCAGCGAATTTTTCCCATGTGTAGAGGGGGTATCCGTGATTTTGGACAGTCATCTCAGTGTTGCTATGATTCGAACCTGCTTCTGATGTCAGGCCCATCCATGAAATGTGCGCATACACACACACACACATACACACACACACACACACACACACACACACACACGCGCGCGCACTGTGCTGCACATGTCCGACGTTCACGAAAATCACGCTCTGGAACGCATCGTGCGCATCCACTGGACACTTAACAAAACTGCGTCGAATAAAGTATTGCTGCAAACGGCAGAAATTTGACCACAGTCCCACCACGTGAATTCCAGACGCGACAACAGTCAGGAGCCAAACCGAAACCCGAAACAGGGATTCAAGATGTGGCCAAGCCAAATATCAATATAATATAAGGCATAAGATAAGCTTGGCGTGAATCACATCTGCGTCCATTTCCACGCTTGTCGCCACAACTGCCACCACAGGCCATGCGTTGGCGTTGCCTCGCCGGCTGCACCTCCCAATGCCTTTCCGAGCCCAACCACTGCGGACCTCCTGAAAGCGCAGTGGGTGTGGAGGGGACCCGCCGGCCGAAAATCCGGGAGAAAAAGAGGGGGCTTGGGCACGTGTGACCGGGGAGGCTGGCACACACCACTGGGCGGGCCCTGTGCAGCGGCGCAGCAGTGCCCCGTAGACGACGAAGTCGAGACGCCGGCGGTCGTCGGCCGGGACTTGCGGCGCCGTGGTGTGTGCGAGCCACTGTTGTGGTACGGCGCGACCCTCTGGACCAACAGCTTCACGAGCGACCTGGACCCACGCACGCTCGACTACAAAGCCACGTCGGGGCAGCAAGCCCGAGGGCAGGCAAGGCGGTGGTCGCTGTAGGCGTCGACCTCAGCTCCGCAGCCGTGCCGACCTTGAGCGCCGCACGCTCCGTTAAGGGCAAGGGCAGCCGTAGCCGGCGCCTAATTGCTACGTGCATGAGGTCGGGCGTGAGGGTGGAGGCAGCATCGGAAGGGATAGCCGCCAGCCACATAAGAGCCGGAGTCAAGGTTGGTAGCGGGACATAATTTTTTTTCACGCGCCTTTTTACGATCGCAAAAGTGCCAAAAGTCCCAGTGCATCCTACACGCTACCTGTCCTGGTGGACTCCAGCACAGTCAGCCGGCAAGGGC